AAAACAAAGTGAAGTCATCAGATACATTGTCCTTTATCTAATTAGAAAAAAGATTTGTTTTTTGGTGGAGAGAAAGTGGTAACTTAGCTCCAATTTATTTCCAAGAAGAATGTTTTCCTTGTTTAATACATAGAGTTTGGCATTTTATTTGATTCTGTATTATTTCTCCCCATAAAAAGGTTTCATTATATATGTCCTCAAGCAAATCCCCTTGTGTACCCAAGGGGACTATTTTGGTAATTCAAAAGGATTGAAAAAATTTTAGAACTGAAAGGAAAATTTAGTGCTTTGAGACCCCATACCAAACAGTTAAATTGGCTACTGTGTTTACCAAGGGTCAAATCATTGTTCAGAATGGTCTTCATCACAAACAGGTCCACCTACCAGTGGGAACTTGGAGTCCAGGATATGGGCCTGAATAAAAAGTAAACTGCTCTTTGCATTCAGAAGCAGATCTGCACATGTATTAAAAAATGAATACACATTATAATTTACCACATGGCAAGAGACTGGGGGAATATATGGTATCCTTCCATGTAGCTATTTGTTGGGTTCCAGTAATGGAACTTGCTGTTTAATCTTTGTGTTTATTTTCTACCAATGGTAAGGTAAACTGCTTGGTCATGAACAACTAAATTATGGACAAATGAAATATTTGATGACCTAAATACCCTATATTATAGGAAAGCTGTCCATTATGGTGGTTGGGGTGCGTGGATTTCAGTGCAGGCACTCTGTACTAAGTATAAGGACAGTGTATTTAATTTTCATTTACAATGCTAGTTTATTCAATATTCACTGAACTCTTTGCTCACTACAGGAAGCTATAGGACTTATTTATACACTAAAAGTCAAGTTATAGAATAATAGATGGGCCAAATGACCAGTTTCTGAAATCTTTACATGAATTTTTAGACCATAGGAACTAACAGTTTGATATATGTTTAATTATACAGCTCCTTAGAAGTTATGACTTACAGTGTCCTTGGAAAAGTCACTAGAAATCTTTTATTGTAAATCTATTTCCTAGGAACCCACAAACATACTTCAAATTTTCCTACTTTATTTGATTTTCAGTTGCTTGGCAAACCTAAATGGATTTGCTTATGGATGCTTTGTACATATGATTATCCTTTCTTCTCACTTCTCACTTCTGACTGCCCCCACACAGATACCCCAGCTTCTTTCAATGACCAAATCTCTGTTAGTTTAGGGAAATTCTTACATCTTGTTAAGATACTCTATATCATATTTGTATATTACCCAAATACTCATTATTGTAATGCATAGCTATAAATCACCAAACAGGTAGTTCTATCTGAATATTGGAAGATTAACACTGCTATAAAAGCAGAATCACAAATATCAAAGGTTATCTCAGAATTATCAATCTGTGCAATGGACAGAAGGAATAAAACATAGTATTGAATTATAAAAATATAAAATTTAATTTATATAATCATTTAATTACTGTTTCAAAGAACCCTATAGCATTTACTTACAGAAAAGGAAGGAATAACACTCTTTACCTTTTGTGTGCACAGATAAAAACAATCTGCCAATTGAAAATAGTTTGGATATGAAGAAAGTCTATAAAATGGATTAACTGAATGTTTATAACTGTTCAAAATAACTAAAGTGGACATATTTATGATTTTCTAATATCAAACATTATTGACAGGAGAAAGTAAATTATTCAGGTATCTCCTCAGTTCAAATATTTGACAAAATATAGGGGAGGGGAACCACTGTGTAAATTTGACAGGTTTTTCGGCTTCCCCACTTCTCTTACTTGAGATCTCCTTTTCATATGCACCCCATTCTTCCAACATGTACAAAAGCAAATGCTTAGTCATTCCTCCATAATTATTTCTTCATTATCTTAACCTTCTCACAGATTGTACCCCAATTAGAAGGCTGGGCCTCATCCTTGACACACCCCTGTCTAGTTTCTTAATAAGTGGCATCAATTGTATTTCCAGCAAAAAGAACAAATCCTTTCTCCTTTTCTGCCTCTTCAAAGTAATCCCTAACAGATCTCTTCTTTTGCATTAGAACTTTTTGAGGAGACTCCAGCTGATTCATCTTCATCCTCCACAATGCACATGGCTCTTCATGGTATAAGCGAAACATTGATAGAACTTTCTTTCAAATGAACCATAAGTCAAAAATAATTATAAGTTGCTAAATGAAGTTAAGATAGCAAGATATTAGATTTAGAATCAGATCAGATTTAATTATTTCATTTATGCTGATTCTGCACTTCCTGTGTTTAAGGCACTGGAAGAGGCATTAGTTATTCAAACAATGATTAGAATAGTTAATTTTCTTGTAAACCAACAATTTTTATATAGAGAAATCAATTCCAAATCAATGACCTCTGCATAACAACTGTACAAGAAGTGTAACTAACTCAGCATAATTCCAACAGGCCTAATGGGGATTTGGCAGGATCTGGCTTTCACAATGCAAAGTTCTTTCCAGTATTATCCTTGTTTTCCTTAGCTCATTACACCAGATCATGTATGATCCCCTCTCCTACAGGTTGTGTAATTTTGGTGGATTATTGCCTAAGTATACCTGGTTGATTCATGCATATTTCTATAGCTTCTCCCCACCCCCACTGCCCCATGTTGCAAAGCAATTCCTGCCCCACTCCAGGCTCCAAGAAGAAAAGAGTTCAGAATTAAGTAAAACAGCTGGAGAGTTGCCCAAGTGCCAAAAATAAGGGTTCAAAAGTGTGTTCCTGTTAAATTAAGAAGTTTTGGTTTATCAATTCTCTATATAGCTTTTAAGTGCTCTGCTGAGCAGCTGGAGGTCATCAAGTGACCTGGAAAGTTGGAAGCTTGTGAATGATCTGTAATATTTTGCTGGGTGCTTAAAATTAGTATTTACTTTAGGGTTGTGATGAATAATTGATAATAACTGAATTATAGAAATAGCTACATATTATTTAAATGTAGTTTCAATAGAAATAATATGCATGCCTACTTTGTTTAAATTTCAGGTGCACTGCCAATACAATTTTAGCAAATAGGTAGAGTAGAAGATAGTCTTTCTTCCATACCACTAAAGAGTATAGTAAGAAAATGCTTTATTTTTTTTTTCTTTTCTTGAAATTTAAGTCTGTGATTTTAATACACTGGAATTTAAACCATGAGAGATCTTTCAGTATTTTCCTTATATTACCAAACGATTGTTATAAAAGCTAAAATCATATACAGTAAACTATACTAAAAATAACATGTTTACCACAGTAATATTTATTGGGCAGTTATTTTATGTAAGGCTTTATTCTAAATATTTAATGCAAATTGACTCCAATGCTCACAACTTCTCTAAGAACAAGTACCATTTTTATTTGCTTTTTGGAGGTAAGAAAAGGAAAAGAAAAGTTAATCATTTTACCCAGTCTCTCAGCTGGTGAGCTGCAGAGCCAGGGTTCCAATCTAGACTTTTGGGGTCTAAAGTCTGAATTCTTCATCAGGCTTGACTGGCTTATTATGTATCCACTATTAGTTAAATGCTTAATCCTCAGAAAGCTTATGAGGTTGATATACCATTATGATCTCCACTTAATAATGAAGGGGGTGGCCTAATCAAGGTGGCTCCACCAGTAACTGGCTGAACCAGGCTATTAAACTCAGTTCTGACTCTTAGGCCTGAGATATTAAAGACTACCTACTACTATCTCCCAGAGGAAACTGCATGCTTATTTTTTCAATCACATTTAGTATTACAATTGAAATAGATTTTAAAGGAAAGTGAAATGGTTCACTCAAAGAGTATAGTGATTAATCTAATCGTCACCTAAAAATATTTAAATACTGTAAAGCTAAATAATAGATTTTTCTAAAATATTTGAATACTACTAAACTAATATTAAATGTTATCATTTTAAGGAATAGTGTTCAAAGGATTATTCTTAAAAGTTGGTATGAATTATCCCATGTCCCCTCCCTTCTCCTCAAACCCCTCTGCCCTATCTAGAGTGTGCCATGTCTGAAGACAGAAACTGGTGTGAATATACTATGTATACAACCAGGGATGTAAAAAATTGTGCTCTATATATGTAATAAGAATTGTAATGCATTCTACTGTCATATAGAAATAAAAAAATTTACATTAAAAAAAGTTCATATGAAGATTCATCTTACGGTCTATGTGGTTCTTCAGAGTAACCATAGTAACATTAGAGATCTGAGACACTTCAAAATATTAAAGTTTATTTTAGTTATTCCAAGTATAAAATACTATGTAATACTTTTTGGGCATAGTGCATAAGAATATCACAAAAATAAAGCAAATCATAAAGTATTATAATTGTTATCATTGTTATGTCAGTATAGATTACTACACTACTATTTTTCCAAATGAGAGGATTTATCACTTATATCTGAAAAATTAACATGCATTAAAAATCTTTCAAAAAATGTAATGGCTGTTGCTGTTTATTATTACTAAGGGCATTCCTACATAAGTCTGTCATTTCCTTATCTGAGTTCATATTAAGAGTTTTGGTTTCTTAGGCTGGGAACATTGATTATTGGTAGAGTATTGCCTCACATGCATAAAGTATTGAGTTTGATCCCCAGTGCCACAAAAAAGAAGAAAGAAAGAAAGAAAGAAAGAAAGAAAGAAAGAAAGAAAGAAAGGGAGAAAGAAAGAAAGTTTTTTCTTTCCTCTTTATAAAATCTTTTTCTTTCCTCTTT